GCTGAATCCCTACTCTTCAGTTTCTTACTTTGCTGTTCTACAGCAAGGAATTTGATTGAGCTAGTCTATGAAAATTATACATTGCCAACAAAATGGTGGATTGGCTAATGTGGATAGGTGCTTGTCTTTGGCCCCTTGTGGCCTGGGAGAAGAATATGTAGTCTACTGCCACTCAGAAGGGAATCTGGTTGGGATAGTTAGTGATAGCCATGTCACCTTTTGCCTTATATGTCGCACTTCCAGTCTGTTGCCTTGGACTACCTGAAAACATCATCATGTTCTTTTCATTCCTACTTTTTTTTTTTTAACCCTCTAGCTTAGCCCCAACACACAACCAAACCTGAGAAGGTACTTTGGTGGCAGCTGGTGGGGAGTATGGGAGTACCAGGAATTGAACTCAGGACCTTTGCACTCAGCAGGCAGGCACTGTGCCACTGAGCTATATCCTTGACCCCTTGAGAAAGAAATATAGTTCTGTTTCTCTTTTCTTCTCAATTCATTACATTTTTTATTGAGTGCTTATAATATGCCTGCAGTATGAAGATAAAGGGATGGACTTGTTTTGTTGTAGTGGAGCTCGCATTATCCATGTACATTCTGAATGGAGAGATAGAAAATAAAGAAGTAAATTGATAAGAGTTTTAGATTATGGTAGTACTAAGACAGGGCCTTTCTGAGGAGATAGCTTTGGAAATGAGGCTTGTGTTTTGTCTTCCCCATTGCTGGTATAGAATATCTGACGCCCACAACTAAAGGAGGAAGCGTTTATTTTGGCTTACAATTTCAGAGGTTTTAGTCCATGATTGGCTCACAGGCAGAAACCTCATGACAGAGAGCATGGTGAAGGAAAGCTGCTTAACTAACTTGGCACTTGGGAAGCGGAGAGGAGAGGAAGGGGACAGGTACCAGACAGTGTGCCCAAAGTCAAGACCCCAGAGATGTGTTTTACTAATCTCCTAGGCTTCTCTTAGGCCACTCAAGTTGATAATCAGGTGTAACCATCACACTTTAGTTGCTCATATTAGTATCAGTAGTTTTAAATTCCTAAATCTGGTCAGTCTTTTTTGCACTGGTTTGTAACAGTTCCCAGAAATGTTTGGCTATTTGTGTAGTCTTTATTTATGTATTTTAGTACAGGGTCTACAGGGTCTCACTACACAGATCGGACTTGTAGTGATCCTCCTGTTTCCAGCCTCCCAAGCACTGGGATTACAGGCATGTGCCACCATGCCCAGTCTCAGTTGCCATCTCAGTGTGCCCTGAGGGCAGGCTTGGCATGGCACACAAGGGATTGAAACCGGCCACTGCTCCTGCCTAAGCAGGCGCTTTAGTCCACTGAGCTATCTGGCTAGTCCATTTGTGTAGTTTTTATAATGGAAGTTTATTAATTTTATTTCTAAATGGTCAATGGAAAAAGTTTTAATTTTGCCTCACAAATGTTTTAGAAATGACCACTATTATGTGTATATAGTTTTATAAATTATTTTCAATGAAGATTTTTATTTTTTTATTTTTTTGGTGGAAGCAGGCATTGTACTTGCCAGGGAAGCACTTACTCCACTGAGACATCTCCCCAGCCCCTCAATGAAGATTTTAAGAGTGTGCATAATGTGTTTTGAAAACTCGATGGAAGATAATGCTTTGTGTTTCACAAGGCTTTCTTTTCAGACTAAAACTAAATTTTTTTTAAACTAAAATTTTGAAATTCTAATGCTTATTGTTAAACATGTGGGATAGTTATTAAAGAAGTGATTGGAATAGGATTCGTATTTTATTTATTTTTTATGATTTCAGACCTTTTAGTAATACTGAAAAAAAATCCAGTTCTTTCTAATAGTTTTTCTCAAAAGGTTTGTATTTTAGATATAATCTTATGGTTAAAGGATATTAGTGACATTGAATATTTGACTAGCTTAGAGATAGCGAATTCTAATAACCTAGCCAACTGTGAACTGTAAATTATGTTACTTATAAAGTTGGCAGGTCATATTAATAGACTATCTGAAGAGGAATAATACAGACAAGTAAATGTAATGTTTTTTTCTAACTTTCTATATTCTCAATCAAAGGGAATCAATGGAATTAAAGGGAATAATATTTCAGGAGAATAGTATCTTGAGTTATATAACCTTCCTTCTGAGGTGATCTCATTCCAGAAAGTTTTATATCAAATGTAATTTACATATTGTATTTAACTTCAAAATACGGTTTTTCTTCTTCAGTAAATTTTATTCATGGTCCACTTCCTTCCAAATGGAAATTATAGTGGCCAAAGTACATTTTTTAATGTTTGACAAGAGATGATCTATTGAGTAAGTTTTGCTATAATTATGCATTTGAATAAAAGTATTAAGCCTTTAAGGATGGTGCTACATAGGGAAGCATTTAATAATTTGAAGACATGGGAAAAATGTTTCATGTGTGTAATACTGTGTAATATTTGCTCACAGTGTGTTCTGGTTGCCAGAATAGATTTGTAATCTTAGGCTTTTTAAATAGATAAAAGTGGATAGATCAGAGAAGTAAATGAAGTCTATAGAATCTGTGCAAATTCTTTTTTCCTCTCTTACCTGCAAGCTGTAGTTTTTGTCTTTCAAGAATTCATCTGTAGAGTTCAGTTGGACACTGATTTAGCCAAGTCCTAAGCACAGAGTTCTTGTGTAGGATTGCTGCCATCCACTGAGGCCTGTGCAGACCAGCCAGGTGGACATAGCTTGATATTTTACAAAAGTGCTGGAGTATATGGATGATTCAGGGCTATGGAGATGGCTCAGTGGAATAAGTGCTTCCCTGGCAAGCGCAAGGGCCTGAGTTTAATCCTCGGTTCCACCAAAATAAAAAGAATCTCTGATTCAGATGGAAGTCCCAAGAGTGTCAGCCAGTGACTGCCTGTCTTCTGTTATTTCTCATTTTGGGACACTGGCTTGTTTTAATAGAATCCTTTATGGGAAATACTTTTTAGTTAGTAAAGCTCTTAGAGATTTGATTTGTGACTTATAAGAACAGTGTTGATGAAGGCCAAGCCAGGGAAAAATACACAGCATTGTGGTAGTGCATCATAAGATGAAGTGAGCAGTGCAGTAAGATGAATAATGATGAGTAAAACTGTGTTGCGGCCATGGAAGGGAGTGTGGGAGCGGATGGCTGCTCCGCTGGGGCCTCAGCTGGAAAAGGTATGAGCAGGGGTGCAGGCAACGTCTGGCAACCATTTGTGCATGTTCAGGTATGATTATATGGAAAGCAAGGTTGCTGGCCTTTGTGGGGCAAATGTTTAGCTTAATAGTTATGAGTCATCTGCTACTGCAAAATAACCATGTTCCTTGCCACAGCCTATAATGGCTGCAAAGGCACACTCCTGTTGTGTACTCCCTGTGCTTTGTCAAGGTGGTGTAAGTCCTTGGAAATAACATTGTGCACTTGCATAACTTACTAGTAAAGAAACTCAATGGCAAGGTGAAAAAAGGTTATGCACTCTAACTTTGTGTTTTCTCTCAAGTTCTGCCTTATCTTTAGTTTCCTGATCTGTGCTTAAATAATACTATCTGCAGATCAGCCCACCCTTTGGTTGTTGTGTTTGATTTGGATTGTCACATACACCCATCATCCAACATTGTGGACATGCCCTGAGGCCTGTGTCAGGAGGTGGTTTCATTGTGTCAGCACATAAGTCTATTTACATAAAGCCAGAGGGTAAGTCATTCATTTGATTTGGCTTCTTGACGCCTTCAGGAGACTCAGTAAATTCTGGTACATGGTTACTGCTGGTGCATACAGTACATTCTGTAGTCAAGTTTTCTTTTGTAAGTGCAAAGGGTATGCTATAAGAATAAAAGTATAGTACAGTGAATACATAATCAGGCATAGTTGTTTGTTATTGTCTAGTATTAGGTACCGTACATTGTTTCATGTGGTATACTTTTAGGTGGCTGCAGTGGATTAGGTTTGTTTACACCAGCATTAGTAGATAAGCGAATAATCACTTATGCTTTGTCATTAGGACTGTGGTAACATCACTAGATGCTAGGCATTTTTAGTTCCATTATAATCTTTCTTTCTTTCTTTCTTTCTTTCTTTCTTTCTTTCTTTCTTTCTTTCTTTCTTTCTTTCTTTTTTTTTTTTTTTGCGGTACCGGGGATTGAACTTAGGACCCTGTGCTTGCCAGGCAAGTGCCTATTCTACTGAGCCATAGGCCCTCCATTATAATCTTGAGACCACTGTTATGTATGTGGCCTATTGCTGACTCTGTTCAGTAGGAACTTATGCACAAGAATAGAGAAAATGAAGGGTCTTGAAGACAAGTGATTCAAGAGAAGATGATGTATGATAGGATTGACTAAGGTATGATAGATACACTATGTGGATGTTATCATTGATTGAAAACTTGGACACTGCAAAAGTACTCAAGTAAGTTGAGGTAGGAAGTGTTCACCAGTCTTACTTGGGGAGATTTTATTTTATTTTATTTTTTAAAAGGAAAGGTGCTGGTGTGCCTGTGCAGATTTGGCATGGAATATGCTGAGGTCAGTGGAGTGCAAGAGAGACCTGATTGGGAAAGCTTCATTGTAAGGGGGTGATGGAAGTCATCTCCATACTTGTTTTTTTAAGTTCATTTCACCCATTTCTTACAATTCTATCAGGTGCTAATAGTAATGAGCAAAAAGACATAGTCCCTTCTCGCTAGATAACAAAACTGAAATTTATGAATTTTTACAAAATTCTTGGAAAATTACACTGTCATCTCTGTCAGTTAGATTGTTTAGTAGGACCCAGAGTTGCAACTGGATTGTAAATTTCTCAGAAAAGTCCTTTATGATACATCTAACATGCATGAGAATATATGCTGATGTTGAAATGAGAGAGAGAGAGAGAGAGAGAGAGAGAGAGAGAGAGAGAGAGAGAGAGAGAATGAGCAAGAGAGAGAGATATTCTGGCCAGGATTTCCTAGCCTAATAAGTAAAACATGATCTTAGAGAAACATTTCTGTCGCCTTGCCTCCGCAGGTATCAGGAGGCAATTCAGAAGTGGGATGAAGCGCTACAGTTAACGCCAAATGATGCTACCCTCTATGAGATGAAATCACAGGTAATAATTATGAAGAATTTCACTTTCATCATAAAATTATGCTTTGTTTGGTGAGTAATGATAAACCAAAATAATGTTTTCTCCTAGTTTCTTTTTCAAATACAATTTGTTTTTAAAAATTGTGCCACATTATTCATGCTTCTGCCTCATGCCCCGAATTAAAAACTCATTTGCCCTCGTGATGGACTTACCTTGTGTTTCAGCCTGTGGTATGAGCAGAATATCTCCTGGAAAGCTACTGTTGTGCTTTTGTGTTAGTGAAACACTTTTCTTCAAACTTAATTGTGGTAGCAGTAGCTCACTTTCCTTCAAAATGAGGATGCCTTGTATTCTGGATGAAATTTCTCCAAAACTGTCCTGGACCATAGAAGGTCAGCAAAGGAAAAGATAACATTTATTTTTAAAGATGCATTTCTGATGTTTTATGGGAAAGTCCATTAAGGAAACCTGTAAGCATCTGAAGTATATTATCTGGGAGTCTTCAGAAGTGTCAAGCAGAACATTCAACATGTTTTTTGGCTGATAATCATTGCAACTTAGCCCTGATCTGCACATCTACCAAAGATTTTTCAGTTTATGATCTCTAACCTGAGATGCCTCTTCATCAATTTTGATATTACTTTTGTCCTTTATCCAGGAAAAAGCAAAGAAATTACTTCTACTGAAATAAGTGCTATGAGGACTTTCATTTGAATTCCTTTAAATTTTAATTTTAAAATATGTGTGCATTAAGGCAAGATTTCCAGTAAACCATATTAAGGATTTTTTTTTTTTTTTTTTTTTTTTTGAACCAGGGTTTCAACTCAGGCCCTTGCATGGCCTTGAACATACATTGTAGCCCAGGATGATCTCAAATTTGCAGTGATCCTCCTGCCTCAGCCTCCCAAGTGCAGGGATTACAGGTGTGTGCCACCATGCCTGGTAATATTAAGGGTTGAATTAGGAACCTGATAAGGAGTTTCTGTCAAAAATCTTCTAAAATATAAATGATCTAAATGATTATATTTAAAATCTAACCCTTTCCCATGAACTGAAATGGAGAGCATACCACTTTTTGACTTTTCTGTTTTGTATGATTTGAAAAGCTCCATTATTGAGGAGTTTCATAAAATATTTAAAAAATTATTGTAGAAGGGAATTTTTGAAGTTATTTTATCTAGTTTAACAGCAAGACTTGGAGTATGCCAAAAACTACATTGTAAGTAAAATAAATACAAGTGGAGATCAAATACCCCTGTGCAACTACTTGATTTGACCAGATTGACAAAATTCAGTAACTGGAAAGGAAATAGTTTATGTTTTTCTGGTTATTTTGGGATTGAAAACAGGACTAAAATTCCTGACCCTGAATAGCAAAAGAGAAGGTAAAGCCCATCAAAATATTACATTTTCAGACTAACATATTTTGAAGTTGAAAAATTCTTTGTTTATATATGTTTATCCAACAGTAGTTTGGGCTTACCTGCTCCTTCCCTCCCTCCCTTCTTCCCTCCCTGCTTCTCCGTCTGTCTCTCCGTCCGTCCGTCCGTCCGTCCGTCCGTCCGTCCGTCTGTCCCCCCCCTCTCTAATTACCAATTATTTCCTTCTTTTTGGTTTGTAGGTCCTCATGTCTCTTCATGAAATGTTCCCAGCAGTACATGCAGCGGAGATGGCTGTCCAGCGAAACCCACATTCGTGGGAGTCTTGGCAAACTTTGGGACGAGCTCAGCTTGGATTAGGAGAGATAGTCCTGGTAAGGAACTTGGATTACTGTGATGCTGAAATAGTACGTTGATTCTGACATGTAGATGAACTTAGTCAAAGGTAAATAGTCACTTAATCAAATCTATACTAAAAATGAATAGAAAATTATCCTTAAGTGAAGTCCATATATAGAGATGCAATCTGTTACTGAGTGTCTTTTTATGATTGTATACGTCAAGTATATTTTTTATTTGACATTATGAAAGATAAAAATTATAATTAAAATATTGACATTTGGTAAAGTATACTTAGAAAGTAAGCAATTTCTAGTTTTGTTCTTTGAATCATTAAATTTACTACACCGGGAAGATTGCCTGTGTGTGGTGGGCGAGGGGCAGCAGCTGTGCGTATCTCCTTCCTACCCCACCGCAGCACAGTGTTCCTCTTATGGCCAGTCACCTACTCTGTCCTTCATGGCCTGCTCATAGATACCAGATGGCTGTATTTAGTGGTATCTCAAAACATACCAGGTCACCTTGGAAAAAAATACAGCTGGGATGTCAAGACCCTGGTGGTATGTGGAAAGGCATTAGAAGTACTCAGATCAGAGATGTCATAAAGCAGTGTGCCAGGTCCCAGAGAGCTGCTGGTAGAGAGAGCCAAAGGAAGGTACAAGAGCTGTTTCTCACTGCTACACTTAGGCCAGGTGTTGAAAACTGACCCCCCCACCTGTGGAAGTACAAAGTCCCCTGGGAGTGGCCACCAGCTCAGGGAGCACATCCTTTGACATGAAGACAAGCAGGCACAAGGGGTTCAACCACGTCAGCTTGGGAGGCTGTCACAAGGTAAAGAGCAGAAAAGCAGCCTGGGCATCTTCCTCACTTGTTCCAAGTGCTTCTCTCCTCCTGCACTCCTGGCACAGTGCCTTGTCTTTAAAGATGCTTTCAGCAGAGTGGAGGGAGCCCTAGCAGCTGGGATGCAGGTTGTTATGATTTCCTACAAAAACTTGAGGCACAGATTGATGACCGAGGCCACTGTAGTGCCAAGTTCCTGCAGAACCTGCAGCCTGAGCCATTTGGTCTGCCTCCCTCCGAGTCAGGGCCAGGCTCTTCCATACTTCTCTCTGCCATATTCATGGCCCATATTGCTGAGAGATGAGAGGGGTGAAGGCCATTTACTGTCCCCACTTGCAGCCTGCATCATCACTGAAGCCTTTGGAAGGTGGTCTTTTGTGCCTTTCTAGGTGGCTTTGGCCTACTATCACAAGCCTGGGTGGCCCTTCACTTGGCACTTGAAAAAAGCCCAGTGGAAACAGACCAGAGTCAGAACCTACGTTTTCCCCCTCTGACTGTCTGAATTAGGAAGCTGATGTAGTACAGAAGAGACTGTTACTACACACATGTATATACTAGCATGTGAATATGCACATGTATGCTGTATGTGTGTGGATGTGTGTATTTGTTAAGAATATACTTCTTTAAAAATATGAAATTGTGGGGCCGGGAGATGGCTCAGTAGAATAAGCGCTTCCCTGGCAAGTGCAAGGGCCTGAGTTCAATCCCGGTTCTGCCAAAAAAAAGGAAATTGTATTTGTGCTTATTTTTCATCGTTTTTTTCTGAATATTGATACCTGCATATGTAAATAGTATAGATTCTTTTAAGTGTGTAAATGCATGTATGTGTATAATTTATTATATATAATATGTTATATAATATTATACTGCTTTGCTCTCTTCATTGTTGAGTGTAACATGAAGTATAACCGGTAGATGAGATGACAATTCTCTTTTGACTTTGAGACGTTGGTATTGGTGAAACTTAAGAAATAATTCTCCAGACTAGCTAACTTTAGAAAGCTTTTATATCCTCAGGTATCTCAGATACCTTTACTCAGTGACTCACCCTGAGCTGCATGTATGACCAGTAGTTTAAATCAGAACCTTGTGTAGTATCAGTCTTGTATCTAAATCCTTAGACCTGTCTCAAAGAGACCAAAAAAAAAAAAAAAAAAAAAAAAAAAAAAAAAAAAAAAACACAAAAAAAAAAGAAAACAAACTAAAAAGGAAAAAAAAAAATTCTCCTTTAAGTCGGTTGGTTTTCTACCTTTTTTAATAAAGCAGATATAGTTTTTTTTCTTTTCTTTTCAGTGCCTCTGCCATTTCTCATTTTTATCTTGTTTTTTTTTGGGGGGGGGACAGGGATTGAACTCACACCTTTGCGCATGCCAGAGAAGCACTTACTCTACTGAGCCATCTCTCCGGCCCCCATTTCTCATTTTTGAGCTCTAAATTATAGACAGACACATAATGATATATCTGTTGTCCAGTGGAATCACTGCGGACTTACGCAGCTGTCAAGTTTTGCCTTAAATTAGCAAGTTTTCCTCAGAATTCCTGATTACTTGTGTTGTCTGTTCCTTGATTTCTCCTTTAAACCAGCTGCATCATATTGCTGGTTCCTTCAGAAGTTAATATAGTTGAATAAAGTCTTTCTTACCCTTTTGTGTAAAACAAGGTGTACTACATTATAAATTGGTAACAACATTATAATAGAGATAGGCCACTAACAGTGTTGTGATTGATTTTTTTTTTTAAATGGGGAGTAATGGTGATTGATTTTATTTTATTTTAATTTTTTTTGTGGTACTGGGGATTAAACTCAGGACCTTGAGCTTGCCTGCCAGGCATGCACTTATGCCACTGAGCTATTTTTTCAGCGGTGATGATATTTAGACTGAGCAATTACTTGGCTTAGTGAGGGCAGTATGGGGATGGGGAGAAGCTTCTGAGAATGAAGTATTTATTGTATAAAATTTACCAAAAATGGTACTGAGGGAATCTCAACATGTCTGTATGGTACCTTGTTGATGGCAAAGGCTAAGTAGGTGAAAATTAACTGTGAGAATTGTTCTGTTTTTGGTTTGGGAAGACTGTATACAACCGACAGCTAACAAGACAAGTTCACTTGCAAGTTTAGTACAACAGTGCCAAATTACTTCTTTGTAATTGAGTAACTTACTAAGACTTGTCAACCTGGGCCTGCCATGTCAGCCCCGCCCCTGGGGTGCACTGAGACGGCAGTTGAGACTGGGCTTGCTGGGGCGCGCCTATAATCCCGGCTCTTGGTAGGCTGTAAACAGGTGGATCACTGTGCATCTGATCTAGTAGTGAGACTCTGAATACCCGGTAGACCCTTCCCTAAAATACAAAAAAAAAAAAAAGACTTGTCAAATTATTTCTTGGTTGTTGAATAAGGTATTTATGACTTTCTGGTTTTATTGGTCTTTTTTGGGGGGGTACCCAGAAGTGAACTCAGAAGGATTTATTGGTCTTTCACAATTAAAACACATTTTGAAGGTTTTTTGAAGGCTAAATTAGTGGTAAATCTTGTATTTAACATTGCTAATAATAGTTTCAGTAAATGATAGATTTTTTTTGCATTCTTATAATTTTATTTCCAAAAGGTGGTACTTGGCAAATTTTTACAAATAATATACAAGGAATATTCATGAGAAAACAAGTGTGTGAACTTAAGTAACTTGAAAATGATTTGAAATGTTACTCATATTGATAGAAATCAGTCTAATAAATGACCTTTTTTTTTTAAAGAATACAAAATAATGAGAAAACAAGTGAGTGAACTTAAGTAACTTGAAAATGATTTGAAATGTTACTCATTGATAGAAATTAGTCTAATAAATGACCTTTTTTTTTTTTAAAGAATACAAAATAATGACAGTAAAAAAATTAGAAATGATGCAGAATTTCACTGAACAAAATAATATGAATTTGACAGTGTTTGGTGTATTGCATATTGTTGTCTTCATATTAGATTATAAGATATATGCATGCAAAATTAGAAAAAAAGTTATAAGAAATTAAGAAGAGAAAAGGAAATTTAAGCATTAACTTTCTGTCCATAGACCAGCAGAAATCAACAGTACAATTATCCAAGCCATCCTACATACATATATAGATATATCTCTTACTCCCCCGCTTCTCTTCATCTCAGTCATTCCTTCCCTTTGAACAGATTCATTCCTTTTCACAATATCTATTTTGTCTTTCAACTTTTATTTACTCTTTCAGGTTCTTACACTAGCAAGACAGTATGATGTTTGCATGCACATATGGGTCTGATTTATATAACTTAAGATTATGGTCTCTAGTTGCATCTATTTACCAATAAGAGCCTCAGATTTATCCTTTTTTTTTTTATAGCCCAGTAATATTTGATTGCATAAAAATACATTTTCTTTATCCATCCCTCAGTTGATGGGCATTTGGGTTGTTTCCAAGGGTTTGCTATGACAAACTGCACTGGCTATAAACATTGGTGCACCTACATCACTGTGGTATGGTGTTTTTGTTCACTTGGAAAAGGACTCAGAAGAATAGCTGGGTTGAATGGAACCTCCAGTCCTAGTTTTTGAGGAATCTCCACATTGATTTACATAGTGGTGGTACCAGCCTGTACTCCCACCAACAGTGGAGAATCATTCCTTTTTCCCTTTTCCAGCATTTGTTATTGGTTTACCTCTTGATGGTAGCCATTCTTTCTGGGGTGAGATGGAATCTCAGTGTTGTTTTAATTTGTATTTCTTGAATGACCAATGATATTAACATTTTTCATATATTTATTGGCCATTTGTATTTCTTCATCTGAGAATTGTATATTCATCTCAGATGCCCAATTTTAGATTGGGTTTGTGAATTTTGGGGACCTGCTTTTTAAAAATTCTTCATATGTTCTAGATAGAAGTCCTTTATCTGAGGGACAGTTGGCAATAATTTTTTCCTAATTCATGAGGTTTCTTTTTACTCTGTTGGTGATTTCTTTTGATATGTAGAAACTTTTCAAAAAAGAAGATATTCCAATTGTTGATTCTTTCAAGTATTTCTTAGGCAATTTGGTTTTTGTTCATGAACTTTCTACCTACCCCTATGTCTTAAAGATTTCTACCTAATTTCTTCTCCAGTGGATTTAGTGTTTCTGTTTTAATATTAAATATTTGATCCATTTTGACTGTAATTTTGTGCATGATAATGG